AAGGTATATATCACCTGCAGCAACAGTGGAGACTTAGAATGCAATATGTGGTTTTATTGAGAAACAGTGTGACTAACTAACAACTAAATATATGATTATTACCGACTTTAATATTCCGCAGTATTCTTCCCAGTTTTTATGTAATGAAAATTTCTCCGAATCTTCTATCCTGTTAAGTAATTTCATAAATTATAATGTCTAATACAACATAATGCAATACATAATTCTAACAACAGGCTTCTCTATTTAGTGTTTACTTCTTCCGAGCCCCAATGTGAAATCAGCCGTTGCGAAGATCTAATAGTTCATGAAGACATCCATCATCCTTCACTTGATGTAAATGTTACTAAGCAGTCGAACAACTCGTTACCTTTTAAGACAACAAATTCCGATTACAGACACAATTTTCGCAAGACGAATTTTGTTGGACTTTATGAATCTTTCCTTCACATTGACTGGAGTCCACTATTCAACTTCAGTGAAGTCAATGAAGCTTGCGAACAGTTTTATAACATGATATATAACCTTTTTGACGAACATGTCCCAAAAACACCACTCAGACAGTTAATATATCCAGCATGGTTTTCGCCTGACATTATCCAAATGATTCGTCTTAAAAGGAAATACTGGAAAAGGTTTAAGAAATCAAGATTGGATATGTATTTATGTCAGGTAAATGAGCAACGTAAACAAATTAAAAAAGTATACCTACATAAGGAATATAAGAATTTCATACAGTCAGTTGAAGAGAACCTACGAACGAATCCAGCTAAATTCTGGTCCTTTGTGAACGCAGTGAACGCAAAAAGAAAAACAACCATCATTCCTGGTAACATGGTATATGACGGTTCAGAATTAAACACTTCTCAAGAAATAGTGGATGGCTTTATTTCCTACTATGGTAACGTTTTGGTTGGCAACAACTGTGGTGGTATCTGTGATAATATAAAGAGCTGTGATATTATTAGTTAGTATTATATTCCGACTTGTTACCAATTTAAAGGCTGTGACTAAGTTCAAAAATAATTTTACAATGGGTCCTGATGAAGTGCCATCATTTATAGTAAAAGACATTATAAGTGTTGTAGTGAGCCGCTTGGTTACATTTTTAATTTAATTTTGAAATTTTTAACCTTTCCGAAGCTAAAGTGAACCCTGTGTTCAAATCGGGAATAAAAAGTGATGTTAAAAATTATCCCTGATAGCCATCTTGTCAAACTTTGATAACATTTTTGAAGCCATTCTTGCTAATCAAATATATATACATATTGCGCCTTATATTCATGATGCTCAGCATGGCTTTATACAAAATAAATGGACTTAACATATCTGTGTCAATTTATTCAGTTTGCTTTTAATGAATTTCAACAGTTCAATCAAGTTGATATAATTTACACCGATTTGGCTAAAGCTTTTGACGTTGTTGACCATTAAATCTTACTGAGAAAGTGGCGTAGGTATGGCGTATGTGTTAGTGTTATTATTTTGTTCATTATTATGTGCTCGCCATCAATATGTCGGATATCATGATTGTCGTTCTAGTCAATATTCAACTCCGGGTGGAGTAACGCAGGGGTCAAACTTAGGTCGAATTCTTTTTGTATTATTTTTTAATGTGTATTTAGTATTTTTGATTGTGATGTTTATGGGTATACAGATGATTTAAAATTGTTACTTCTGTTTCATCAGCTACTACCTGTTCAGCTTTACAAAATGTTGTCAACAAATTCTTCTTCTGGTGTGAAGCAAACAAATTAAAAGTTAATAAAAAATAAATGTAAGGTGATAACTTTATCTAAAAAATCACAAAATATGTTGTTTGGCTACCGGATAAATGATACAGATATTGAGAGATTTGATCAAATACGGGACTTAGGTACTATCATAGATCAGATCAATCTGTGTCATTTATACCACATATAGAACAAATATGTAAAAATGCTAGGTTTTATCAAACGCAATTCAAAAAGTTTTCAAAATGTAAATAGTTTACTCTGTTTGTACCTTACATTAATAACATCTAGATTAGAGTATGCTAGCGTTACATGGTGCCCCTACTACTCAGTTCACATTAAATTTGTTGAACGTGTGCAAATAAAATTTAGTAGATACTTATTTTGTGTAAAAAATAAAATGTATCCTCCTCATACATATGAAATTCTACACTTGTATAACGATCTTAATTTAACATATATCTCCTATTGGAGAGATATTCAAACTCATGCACAATCAGATTCGGAGTAGCACTTTATTATAAAGTCTTTTATTTCATTTTCCTAGTCTAGGTAGTCGTAATTCAGTTCTAGATGTTACCCGCATTTAGAACTAATTATCATTTCTTTTCCTCAATTTTGAAAATGTGTAGATGTTGTAATAATGTAAAAAAATTGATGAGATGGTTAGCAGCTTAAAAAACGTGTTTTCAGACCTAAAAGCTGAACTAGTAACAAGTGCTGAAAATCAGATTAAAAATACTCTTCCTGATCACAAACCTGTTGCATCCTTGTCAGATATATTGAAAAACAAAACTACACCCGTGATATTAATTGAACCTAAAAATTCTGACCATGATTCCGTCCACCCAAAATCAGATCTCACATCTCGTATCATTCCCCTAGATACCAATCTGCAGTTTGAACAACTAAAGAGTACAAAAAAAGGTGGCATGATCGTGGGATGTACATTAGCTGAGCGAAACCAGCGTTTCAAGAAATTGGGAGAGGAAAAACTAGGAAATGCATACGTAATACACGAATTTAAAGGGATAGCCCCACGAGTTCGCATTGTTGGCTTCTCGCAGCCTTATGATGAAAATGAATGGGATGAACTAGCAGATTTGGTAAAAACAACGAACAGCTTTATGTTCGGGTCTCAGTCGAAATGCAGAGTCCTAAAATTTTGGGCCACTAAAAAAGAAAAAAAAGTCCATCAGGCCCTTTTACAAATTGATAAAAATTCCTACCATAAATTTATGACAGCGGGTGGTATATTTGTCGGCTACGATTATTGCGTTGCATTTGATGGTTTAGAAGTTGTTCGTTGCTTTAATTGCAACCGTTTTGGTCACTCCTCTCCTTTGTGCAAGGAAAAAATAAGTTGTCCAAAATGCAGCGGAGAGCACAATATTGCAACGTGTACATCAGAAAATTATAAATGTGCAAACTGCGTACGCCAAGGTATTAAAGATAACCAAAATATAGATACGAATCATGCTGTTTGGGATCATTCATGTCCTGTTCATTCTGCAGCCCCCCGAAAAACTTAAAACAGATACTTTTTCAGCATAGCAAATAACTAGAAATTCGTGCCGAAATGAGTAGAAGCACATGGACCTGACAAAGTTGCACAGTTTTCCATAACCTGTAAAAATATTGCCTCTGTATTTGCGTTTTTCGCTACGTTTTCTTCTACCAAAATGTCAAAGTGAACTTCGTGAATTTTTTAAATGAACACGCGTTACGAAATATGTTGTGACCGGGCAGTGAAAAATATAAATATCGGCGAACTCACAAAGCGAAAAGTATAAAACAGTAATGACACTTATTTCACTTGAGTAAATAATAATTATAACATATTTTATTATCTATATATATCTACTCGTATATAACATAATTATTTTAAATAACAATCATATTCTATTATTATCATCGAAAATCTGAACGAAATCAGAAGACGCAACCCGTACTCGATTTGTCACTATTTGTGGAATGACCCAGTTGTAAATTGCGTCAGAACGAATTTTCGGCAAAAAACGAACAAGGAAAGTAAGAAAAACAACCGGTAATAAAAAATCAACCGCAGCGGGCGAAAGATCGCAAAAAGTTGCTGCCCCTGGTTGCCCTCGCGCCCTGCGTTCGTTCTTTTCGGCACTTCCTCAGCCATTGTTTCCGGTACATTTGACGTGTTTCCGAGCCATATTCTTGTCCCGGAGCCCCTTATCACCTCGCCTATCACTTCCTCTCCGATTATCACGATGCTTCTATTTTATCTCATCTTGACGTTGAACGTACTCCTCAACTATCGTCGAGCGCACTTGAAAGATGACTTTATGTTGGCGTTGCTACTCTAAGGAGACACAAAAAGAAGCGAGTGGAAAGTTGAGGCTTCAATATTTACATAACTAATAAAACGATTCATCTGCAGCGGATGTGTTTGCTTCAGGCACTAATTGGAACGGAGTTTATTAAATTAAATCGGGCGGATTTAAATTAGACATGATTTAATTCAAGCAAATTACCGTAGAGATTTAAGTATTGATTGTTCAAGAACACTTGCATAATTTCAAGACGAAGTTTGCTAGTTAGCTATTGAGATAAATTAATTGAATTACGGGAATTACGGTCTTTTAATAAAATTGTTGCAAGCGTAAGTACTTCATACTGATCACAAGTTGATAACTTATGTATAACTAAGTAAATACTTAGTATAAGCAAAATTACCACCAAAACACGTGCTAATGGTTACAAACTTAATAAAAGTTGAAGCTGAGTTTAGAAAATACGGATACCTTAACTGAAAATGTAAATTTATTGATTGTTGATTTATTTCACTTGTAGCGACGAGCTTAAAAAAATTAACTCTAACTACGACCTTAGTCGTTTCACAATTTTTATAAACATATCTGTAGTAGTTGAAACTTAAAAACCGACTTTATAGACCATATTTTATAAATGTTAATTTATTCCTCAGAAATAAATTATTAAAATGTCATCTGAAATTGTAATTATTTACAAGAAAAACTTGGTTTAAGAATTTCTCGATAGAACGTCTCTAAACTCTGAGGCCGAATCATGTAAAAAATCCAGTTCCTAGAATAAGTTATAAAATTCGATTCTGGAAATGTTATATACTTACAATCTACTTCAGCTTCCCGTATATAAAAAAATAATGTCTATTAATTATAGAACGTATCTTGTGTCTTTGATTACTTCATCAAAATCTAGTTACAAAAAATGTATTTTTGTAAAACAGCAATGCCTAATCTCCTGTCTTTATTTCAGATGTTCTTGGCCCGATATTTGGTGACTGGTTTTGTTTTGGCTCTTGCGTTCATCCACTTCGCTGCACTAACTATGATCCTGCCACCGTCGTGTCCTCCCGAATGTATATGCTTATCTCAAACACAGGTAATGAGCTGTAAATCAGATAAATATCGGTAGTTACACAATTTGACTGTTATGTTGTTTGTTTGTAAAATAATAGCAAGGATCTTTACACTTGGATGAATCGGTGGCGATGCTTACTATTCAACTCACAAGGCGTTTAAATCAAATTAACTAATAAAAGCCCATTAGTTAACATCTTTACTTCCCGAGCTAACCTAAGGAAGTATTGTAATAGGACCCATCTGATGACTGGCTATTTTCATGTTTTCTCGACGTTTCATGAACCCTAGAATATGAAAATGAAAACCACCGAAACTACCAAACCGATTATTGTCAAATTTTATAAATAACCAAAATGTGTCTAATCAGCCCTATTAATAATTTGATCATGAGACCAATTTTTAAACGAGTTTCTATAGATATATCAAGATTGGAAATAATTTTTGCACATAAATATATATTTTAGGTTGCAACTTATTAAATGCATAGTTGATAATAGCAGTTGTACAGGATGTTATTGAAATACACTTACAAAAAAACTGGGAGTGTTGTGTGGACTCTAAGGAAACAAACCTTGGTTTTATAGTCAAAATTATACAAAATTATAAAAAAAATACCTCTATCTTTGCCTCTTCTACACCACTGGCAAATAAATAGTATATCTAAAAAAAAACTTAATTAATTTACGTTTGTAAAATCATTGCGACCACAAAATACAAAGAACTTTCTTGTCATAGCAAATATGTATTTTTCTGTATTTTTTGATAAAACAAAATGGGAAATATGTGGAATAATAAAAAGTGTCTATTATGGAGTAGGATTGCCTAGGGTAAACAGTTAAAAAATTTGTGGTCGAAAATCTGACAGTTTTCTTATGCTCACCTCGCATAATGAAGCGACTGAATCGTCCTCTTCGTTGATTCGATATTAAAATCTCCCAAATACCTTAAAAGTGACATATGCAAAGTGACCGGCTGAATGTCTGACTTTTGAGACTATTTGACACAATCTGATACAACGAATAACCACCGATAATGTAACGACGTAGTAACGTCACCAACCACAATGTGGTGGTATACTATTTACAGCTAGTAAGTAGGATGATTTGAATTCCATGTTATCAAACATATAAAAGCCGGCACAGGGCAATACTTTTCGGACATTTTGATAATATTATTAATTCAGACACATCAAATTTTGTTTTAGCACAGTGACAAAAGAAATTACAAGTTCCTGGGACTCCCGACGTAAGTAGCATCTTTTGATATTTTCCCTTGAGCTCCTTCTATCTCGAGCGGTTGTAACCAATTGGGAAGACTTTAATAAGGAATCAACGGAGACGACGCCGTGAACGTTTCAGCTGGTCTGATATTTTTATGGAGAAATTTAAAGCAGCTGTGCCCCGTGACTTCTTCAAGGTCTCTTTAATTCATGCATTAGTTAACTAAGTTCACATTTGTGGTCTGTGGAAACATTGGTATTTCCTAATTCTGCTTTGGAGGGCGAAATAACGTATTGTAATAGATCTTTTAATTCGGTTGGACCATTTGGGCACAGACTACTCATTATTCACCGCTTTTTTATTCTAGGTTAGTTGCCGACTTATGCTAACTATTTTAGTGTTTTATAACTAATTGCTTACGCTACAATAAATGCTTTCTCTACAGTATGTCACGAAACTTTTGGGACAAATTTCAAAACAAAATATAGCAAGAATAAAATTTATGTATTTAATTGGTTTATTGTACCATTTCCGACACTGAAGTATCGCAGACCATGTGACAAGTGAATCCGTATATGACAGTATACACAGAAAAATGCTAACAAAAACTGCAAAATTTTATAAAGCAGTTCCATCGACGAAATAACATTTTGGCCAAATTTAGCCTCTTACAAGAATCAGCCGGAACAAAGTACACTCGGTTGGAGGTGAAAAATACCATTTGTGCTGGAAGAAGACAATCCCATAAATATGCGTCATTAGCATTACCGACCAATTGAAAATTTTAGTGGTTTGTTGAACAGAAAAGGGTTCAATAAAGGGTAGGCACATTTGAAAACCTAAGACGATACATTAGGACAAAATTAGGTATTATTGATGATAAAAGACTTTTGTCAATTATTTAAAGGTTGTTTAGTTTTTTTTTCAAAAGTTAGTTACCTAATTTATCAATTTGGCAGTCTGTGGCACAACACGCTGTCTACATTTCCCTTTTGAATGGCAACACTGATATGTTGCGGAATGATTTTGCCAATAGTAAACCAAACTTGGCAAAAAATAGACACGCTATATCTTCATAAACTGACTTGGTGTCTTCACCTATTCTATTCTTGATACAATTTTTTTGTTTTGAAATTTACACATTAATTTCCAACAGAAACATTAAATTAATAATGTGTTTTTTCATACCTTAATGACTAATAAAATTGTCATATGAAAAGAGTTGTTTTTATTTAAATAACTACAGAAAACAACAAATAAAATTTTAATGAATAAACAAAACACTTAAACCAAATCTTGACTGAACGCGATAATAAAACAACGAAACCATAAATCTGTAACAAATTTTCAAAGTGACAGCCTGTGTTCTGTTTACTATATATGGATCTGTGTAGAAACATCTTCAATTCAGTTTATCAGTTCTCCAACACTGTTGATAGGAATTTGGTAGACTAACAGTTTTATGTGATCGCACAGAAAAAATTACAACGATTGAAGCTGAGGAAACGAGGTGGCCATAATACTGGTTCATTCCTGCCTATCCACTTATCCATAAAATTTAGATTCGACCATCTCCGCACTACCAAAGCATTATGAGTAGGGAAAACTGTGAATAGGCTTCGGTTGTCAAACGAGGAGGCACTATGGGCCTATCAAATTATTACCAATCATTTCTACCCAAACATTAAGTGAAAATATGTTCTGAAAATGCCCCTCCTGTATCGCATAAGGATTTTCGTATGACCACATATGCGTATTACGCGCGTTATAAATACCTTCTCTGAAAGTAGACTCGTCTGTTGACAACAATTTTCCGACAAAGTCTGGTTGTTCTCTAATTTTTTGAAGTAACCACTCGCAAAAGGAATGCGACGAGGGAGATTCGACTTACCACCATCCATGGCCCCGTACTTGAGAACCCCAGCTCGCAGGCTCGGCTTCGACGAAATTTGGGCCCATGCAAATAGCATGTTACCCCGTCATCACAAAAAACTGTTTCATTATGTGGTCACTCACTCACCCGGGGATCTTTATCCCCTAGCTCCTCCCAGAGACAGCTACGATGCCATGCCCGCGTCATTTCCGTGGTCAGGGTGTCGTCTTTGGCGCACGATACCTTCAGAATTTCCTGAAATCGCTTTGCACGTACAAATTGTATTGTACAGCCCGCCAATGGCGTTTTCAGAAGGAGCGCCGCCATGGTCATATTGGAGGAGACAACTCCACGTCCATACGTCACTGTATTTCCTTTAGAAACCTATCCAGCCAACGTATGCTCTGTTGTATTTGGTTTCTACCATCGCCACCAGCACTTAGGACTTTCAGGGTTTTCGCGAATCTGCTGTGTCATGGACCAAATTCATCCCACCTGACAGCCCTCTCACTGCCCAGATACATACCATGGCATCTGATAGATATTTTACAAGTCCACATATTCATAATGAGGTTTGCCCCACCTGTCAGCCTTAATCTCTTTCCATCAGCAACACTCGCTTGAAAAAACGACGGCAACACCACTTTACTCAAGAGCACCGGAAAATTTATACAACAATTGCTAGTCGTGATGGTGTAGAGCATTTGCAATACAGTCTTGACTTAATTCGTGAAGGGGGGGTACCAGACCGTCTAAATTTAAATACTGATAAATGTTTTCATGTAACGTTTGCAAGGAAAATCTACAATTTCCCTACATACTACACGATAAACGAGAGTATTTTTAAAATGAATAAAGCTAAAGATCTTGGCATTTTATTTGGCTGTGAAGTTAGTTATGTAGAACATACCTATTGAAAATCTGGCGCTTTCTGCTTTTAAGTCCTTGGGTTTTTTGATGCGTGTGTCCCTGTACTTTAATAATGCACAGTTAATTAAATCGCTCTACTTTGCATTCATCGTGAGCAATCTGGAATATGCGTCAGTTGTTTGGTCGCCGTGTTACTTGCGGCATGAACTTATTCTCCGGAGAGTGCAACGTAAGTTTATGAAGTTTCTAAGTTTTAAAATCTCTGGTACTTATCCTGGTCGCAATATTGACTACAACTATTTATTGCAAACTCACGAATTACAAGCACTCTCTGCCAGGCGTAAGATTCATGGTGCTTGTTTTATGTGGAAATTGATACATAGGTAACAAACTGGAATATGTCAACAATATGTGCCTCGGTTAAGTGCTAGATATGCTTCTATTTTGCGTTATCTCAGTCCAGAACAAATTTGTTAAAGAATTCTCCAATGGTTAGAATATCTCAACAGGCTAATGAACTACATAGTGATATTTTTATCTACGTTACTAAAATGTGCATGGGTACATAAGTTTATATTTATACTTATTTGTTATTCTTTTTATTTATAAGTTTTTTCTTGTAACAAGTATTATACTTGCCCTTTAATTGGGTTGCCGTTGGACAAATAAATTATTATTATTATTATTAAATTATTTATTCCGTCCCTGTCCGAGCCCGTCGCTTGTAACAACAGGGCCTGGACCACATAAGAAATCAAAATATGTGTGATCGGTGGATGGTTGTTTTATACATATCAACAGCTAGTTTGTACATGACTTAGACAACTGTTACTAACAAAGGTTTTCGAGCAAGTAAACATTCCTCATTACTAGACATTTTTTTAAAATACGGACGTAAAATTCTTTACCGTGAGACTTGCTTGTCTACGGGCTGAAATAAACGATTGTAAGGTATATTATTTTATATTATTCAAAAATGAGGGTAATGATCATGAATAAATAAATGAATAAGAAACACAAGTTAAACGTAAATTGGTTTCCTGAATTTTCATTGAAAAGTACTTATAAATTATTCATCTGAGTTCTTATACCTTGTAAAGATACTGTTATTTCAAGGAAATTATTCCAAATATGAAAAAAACATGACTAATTTACCGACCCTTGCTGTACCATACTAAAGCACTTATTTGTCTTTCAATCGTTTTAATTTGTTTCTCCAATATTATGCGCACTAACTTGTTGCAGTACTGAAAACTTTACCTAGATATTTATAATATTTTATCTCGTAGTTAGAACAGCCAGTTAAGGACCAGTGCTTTTACTTAGGCTTTTTCATCTCCAAGGCCACTCGTCTTAATATTTATTTACAAATTTATATACATAGCACAATTCAGATATGTACACAACTTAAAACCGAACAGTGTCCTATTGAAAAACAATAGAGGTACAAACTTTAGTTGACTGATGCAGAAAATCTTCCCTCTGTCCTATCTTCGGTTACTGATAAATAGATAAACTTAATGGGATTGGATTTTTCAAAGTAAATTGAATTTATAAAATTAATTCGCATTAGCCAATTAAATCAAATTCGAACTTGTGTGTATCCAACCATCTAAACTAAGATCCAGGCTGCTTATTTTTCTTCGTTTACCAATGTGTTATTGTACCGTCACAACGTCTTGAGGTAAAAACTGATCTAAAGTCATTGAGACAAAGTTTCGCTTACTCCTGAAATACAATAGAACAAATACAGTTTCTTAGACAAATTATCAAATTTAATTTTGCGAATTTTATTTTTTGATAATCAGCTCTATAAGTAGAAATGTGTGTATTGTTAAACTATAGGTAAAGGAGCGTGCTATATGTACATTACAAGTGAATTTTCACAATAAAATGTTTTTGATATCGGCATCAACTTTTTAGCAATGACACACCGTAGGCTATGGAAATAATTTCCTTCACGATTCAAATCATTTATTAGTGTTGAAACAGCGAATTTAAATGAACTTTTTGTCGCCATGGAATTGTCCTTCGCAGTTTTCACCCCTTTATTCTGAGCAATCCATCATCCATGAGTCGAGGAAAAAACAACCTTATATGAAACTTATTTCGATCATTTTAAATTTTGCCTTGTAAGGTTTAATCAAAGAAATGAAAAATATTTCCATAGCAGACCCTAATCTGAAAACTTTTGATCACCTGTTTGGATAGGTCCAGTCTGGTGTTAATAACAACATGTACAGTAACAATGTTTCTTTTGTACACAATAGAATTTTATGATGGTTTGAGCCAGTTAACGTCAGCAGCTCATACCTACAATAAATTGCAATTTTAAAACCGGGGAGGTAGAAAACCAGTAATCCCAGCGGTTCTTAATTACCCTTCTTCTGGTTAAATAAAGGCGGCTGGTGTCAAGTCGGTGGGATACTCAGTGGGTGAATAGCTTAGCCAACCCAATAGCATTGTAAAATTCTGTTGTATACAAATGGAACGTTTTTACAGTATTTCCAAAATTTCTGGAAAATGAGGTAAGCCGTTTTTGATTTAAACAATATCATTATATTTTTACTATTACTTTTATGTATAATATATATTATATAAATATTAACAAGTCATTCATCAAAATTCATTCGTTTATTCCCTCTGAAAAACTGATAGTGATAATGTCAACTCAAAATTTTGTCTAATAAATCCTCTTTAAAATATGCAAAATATTATGACTCTATAGTCTCCATACTTGCAGTTTATCAACGCACTTAACAATTTTTAGAATTACGAATACAGGGTGACTCAAAAATTTAATGAATGAGGCAATTTATTTTATTGTTTAATTCAAGAACGACTCACTCCATTGTCCCGAAAACAGTACTGTTGTTGTTAATATTACACAACGACTATCCAAATTGACATATATATGTCCTTGCAAAAATGTTGATTACGTCATCAAAAAATTTTGTAATTGAAAAACTCATCTGAAACAAACGCGTAACCGGCTTCTTTACCTTTACTTTAAGATTACATACATATCTTTATTTTGACTTATAAGGGTTATCATAAAAAAAAACAAAATCTGCAAAAGATCTTATAATTTTTCGAGAAAGCTGGATCTATTCTATTGTACTTCAGGACTGAGACAAGTTCTATCGAAATAACCTTCGACCAATTTTTTAATAAGACTGATCAAAAAAAGTACTGTCTCAGATTTTCTTCTGTCGAACAATCCAGACACTCTTACAAATGTTATACTCATTTAGACTGATGACGTAAAAAAAAAATATACCGAACACAACGAAATAAATAACCACTTTTGTTAATATCTGCAACATTGGTTCCCTCATTTATGTGGATTTTAATAAATTTAGGTGAGTAGTTGTCATGTCCACCATAAACCGCATACAGATTTCACATATTTCGGTTTTAATTCATATATCTAGTAGAGTTGACTTTAATCTGTTTTTGAAAATAAATAGAAATGTACACAGTATAAACTTAGTCAGTTTCTCTTTCCACTCAACGTTCTGCACAAAATTTATGAGTATAGAATCATACAAAGTTTAATGACGCGAACAAAAATTCGAACAAACGAACCCGTCCAATTTTTGCTTAGTTACTCTGGAATTAGCGCGTAGTTTTTCATAATTTCCCGCAACATTAATGTACAAAAGCTCTCACACCGTTAATTTTCTATCGGCACACAGCTTTGTTAACTTATTGATAACAATATCGGAGCGGCATCGCGCTGTTAAATTTGCACAGATCCGGCTAATCCGCAATACATGGCAAAGCATCCATCCTCATTATGTCTGACACGTACAACCCCATAAATATTTAATGCCACACCGACGCGCGGATATAAAAAAATATTTTTACACATCAGCAGCCAGCAAACGACAAAAACGCGCCGTCCGTCCCTGCTTCTCACCCTATTAAATCATGACCAGTGGGACCTTCCCAGATAAGTCCGGTCGCGCAAACCCCAATTGACTTCGGCCCAGACCCTCCATAACTCGACTTTAACGCTCTTAATTTGATTTTTTGTTTCAGGTGCTGTGTAATTCGGGCGGATTACGAGAGATTCCGGTGAAACTTCTGCCTTCGACGGTGGAGCACCTCTCCTTAACGAGAAACCACTTTCCTGTTATCAAGAGCGACGCTTTTGCGGGTTTGAGGTATTTGAGGAAGCTGTCTTTGGATGGCAACAACATATCAATCATTAAACCGTTCGCCTTCAGGGGTCTTCCGCGTCTTCGAGAACTATCTATACAGGTTTGTTGTGTTTTGTCCTGAAACTAACAGCGTTTCAGGAATCGTTTTTGCTATATGACACAGTTACAAAAGCTATACCGAAAAACCGACGCTATAATACCATTACCGCCCTGTACAAATAACTTACAGGAGTGTCACGACGTTATTAAGGGAGCTGGGATTCAGTTAATTATACATTTTGTACTTAGATCATCACGAATTTAAAATCGCCATTTGACTGATTTGTTAATACGGAAATAAAAACATTCAGAAAAGATTATCATTTTTTGCACATTCTGTTCTTTTGAAGAAGCAAGGAACATACATGATTCTTCGAACCCCATATTTTATCCAAAAAAATGCCGTACATCAAAACGCTTAATCTAGAAATTTCGATTGGTGTAACGGATGTATCAACACATCCAGTCCTCATTACTAAAGAAAAATGGCAAAAATTGTTCCAAGGTTGTTTTGACAGAATTTCTCTCACTTCCGAAGTACAGTAAAACCTATCCAGCTTTTATGAAAAATTATAAATTTTTATTTTGCGAACTTAATTTTTCTTTAATAAAACCTCTACAAATTAAACTAAAGATATATATATAATGTTAAAGAAGCGTGGTACACGTATGCTTCAAAATGAATGTTTGCCTTTGCAAAATTTTGGGATGAGATCATCAAACATTTTTAAAAGGACACGTATATGAATTTGGATAGTTGCCGTGTAATACTAATTAATAATAACAGTCTTGTATTCCCATAGTTTCGGGAAAATAGAATGATCCGTTCCTCATTCAATCAACAAAATAAGTTGACTAATTCATTAATTTTTTTAAGTAACACTTTATAACCAATTTTTAATATGATTGCAATATCGAATCACAAGAATAGACTCATCATATTTTGAATAGATTTATTCGAAACAATTTTGAGACGTCATCAATTTTTTGGAGGTAATAGACAAACATTTACCATGCTCACGATTACCTCTGCAAGATTTCAGAACATTCGGTTTTCCAGATTCAAAATTAAATTACAAAATATTGTAGGGGTAATAAATAATGTTAGGTTATAATATTTTGTGCGAGATGTTAGTTGCTTTTTACCATAAACAAATGTACAAGTAGTTGTTTTTTTGAAAAATAGTCAAGCTGGTTGCTGGAAAATTTAAGAATTAGTCCAAATTTCTTCAATTTGTTAGATCCAAGCAGGGAAACGATGTCTCATTACTAGGGCGCTTAAGGTCGTATTTGTTATTTAAGACATGTAGGTAAATGTGAAATCACACCAGTAAAAATATTTAAGTATCGAAACTACTTCATTAAAATTGGAGTTGTTGGTGTTAGGAAATGCTTTCGACAAAATTTGAAAGTAAACTCCTGGCGATAAGCATAATAAAAAAACCTATCAAAATTTTCGGCTAATGTAACCAGTTTTTTCATAAAAATGTATCAATAAATTGGCCTGCACATTATGAGAACTGCTGGTATATTATTTTGTCTTTTTTTTAATGAAAATTAGAAATTCTAAAAGCATTAACTAGCAACAGGGCAAGAATATCTGTCAAAAATTTAAAAGTGCAGTCCATAGATATGCAGTTTTAAATTCGCCATTAGTGGCAGTATTAACGCACTTTCACTCTCTCTCAGTCCCTAAAATCAATTCTTCCAACAGAAATAAATAATGGTTTAATTGCAACAAATTATAACAAAAACATGAAACAGAAACCAGAAAAAGAAAGAGGAACACAAAAATAAAGAGAATTGAAGCAAATGTTCAAAATGCCTTCCGTTTGCTCTAATGCATGCATGTTCTTGTCGTAACAGCAGATTGCTCACTCGCGACAGCTAGAATTCTCCGTTCCAAAGCTTCCACACCATTTACGGGGGTTTCGTATACCATTGCTTTCATGTACCCCACAAATAGTAATCACAACTATTCAGGTCTGGGGAACGGGCAACAGGTCATGCTCTGCTAATTTACGTTTTACCATACAAATCGCTCAAATACTATCTCACATTAACACTAAAGCGAGGAGGTGTACCACCATGCATTAAATACATCCTGTCCGGGATTGCTAAGTGCACCTCTTTTAATAATTTTGGCAGATTCTTCATCAGAAAATTTAAATACCTGTGCCCATCGAGTCTCTCCGGTAAGACAAACGGTCCTATAAGCCAAGCTCGAATTATTTCCGCCCAGAAGTTAACAGAAAAACGTGGATTGGCACGTAATCATTAATGGGTATTGTGAAAATTGAGTATTCTGGTAAAACAGCATTCGTCGGTCATGAGAATTTCTGCGTGGAATAAAGAATTGTCAGCATTTCTGTTCAACAATCACTCGCAGAAATTAGTGTGGGAATACAGTCTTGTGGACCCAAACTTTGAACCCGTTGTAGACGATAGTGATATAAAAGATATTCTTTGATAATTCTCCTTATCGTGCAGTAACTTACGCCGACTTCTTTTGCAATTCCAAGGATGTTAGCTGAAGATTTGCATCCACCAATTTCTTTTTCAAGATGTAACATGCTAGAGTTTCGGCCTTTCCCTACTTTCTGATCCTTGGGCAAAATTGATCGCGTCTCCCGCAATTTTTGTGTTACACTGGCAATAGTTCCATGATGTGGCCGCCGACGTGCGGGAAAGCGTTCGGTATACCTCCTAGCTGCGGCTGTGGCATTAGCACCACATTCGCCGTATGCAAAGTGCATGTCGACATATTCGCCTATAGTGCATTAGATAAAAAAAACTGTAAGTGTAATTGATACTCCTATATAATTTTGATTGTTTTTCCAAAATTCTTGTCTTGGGCAAAAAACTCAACACGGATTTGTGAACTACAGGTGTAGGAGTATGTTATTTTATATAATTTAAAACCCATTTACTATGTACAATTTTGAAGTAACGTCATTACATTGTTGGTGGGGATAATTAGACAAATTTTGGTTACGTAGCATTTTACCATCCACATGATCTTGCTAATACATGTCTTATGACAGAGTTCATTTAATTTCCGACGCAAAAACAAGAGTGTTATAACTTCGAACTCTTACTCTGTCCGGCCGTCTGTCTGTGTATTGTGGCACTACAGTTTCAAAAAGGATGAACCGGTTTCAATACGTTTTTTTGTTGAAAGCTGGTTTAATCGGGATGCTTCTTAGATGTTTGATGTTAATCACTTCAGCCATTTCAAGATCATCAAGTCATAATATATTTGGTTTAGATATTAGCTCGGTTCGCGAGAAAGTGGGATACCACGACAACGGTCACAACGAATTTTAACCAATTTCAGACATTCTAAGTGTTAATCGTCAAATGTCCTGAGTATTATGATATACTTGCATTTAAAGAAACTTAATTATTATCCATACACTAAGCATAAATGACATAAGAATAAAAGAAGGTTGGTATAATAACAAATTTCCCTATATTATTTTTAAAGAAATATTATCAGCGTGGGCGACACTGACAAAAAAATTTAAACAAACGATTAGAGAGGTTAAATGTCATATTAAATTTTGTCATCATATCATTGTAAGTTTAACGCGATGGAATGCAAACGATTTTTTTTTCAAAATCAATTTCAAAAATTCAAAAATTTGGCCTTGGCTGTGATCGTCTAACAAAATGGGACACTACATTGGGTTGGAAAAATACCGCTAAATAAAACAGAAAATATATGGAGTGTGTATTCCCCCACTGCATTGACAAGCTACAAAAAAAAACTTGCCTAACTTGGAATGAAATCAAATTAAACGTTCTGAATCAATGCAAATATTTGAATCTCACAAATTTAATAAAAACAAAGAAAAATCTGAATTAAAGTAACTAGATGCAAATACACAAGTTATTACAGGCGTGTGGCGGCAAATTTACAATTATGGCAGTAGACAAGAGAACAAAATTTTAATAAAACTCTATGCAGTAACACCAGAGCGCCTCCTCATGAACGCTTATAACTAAGCTATAATAATATAGAGCACAGCAAAATTGTCCGTAGGTAGCGTTGTAGCACGAGCGGAATTTGGGGCTCCTGGTTGTGGCTGTTCTTCCACCACGATGGTGATTCTACTCTATCGGCAAGCATGCCGCCCAGCACCCCTCTATCACGAAGAAACGTGCCACGCGAGCAGGCCGTTACGGTCGCAAACTAGTGGTTGGAAATCCCGACTAATGGGCTAAGCCGCGAGTGTCACGTTATCCCGACCACTCCCCTGACTTCTATTCAAGATCCGCGTCTTTTGTGCAGATGACGATCGACAAGGAACCGCGCACTCCGCTTTTGCCACGTGTTTCTGTGTTATTTACCCAAATTCCCTTTTAAATGCTCACTTTCTATAACCCTGATAATTAACTACAATCGAACAAGTGTTAAAGTTTCAAAAGAGCAATAAACAACATTTGAATTCGCCATACACTCTCGTGAAATTTTAAACAGTAAAGAATTCTTATCTCAGATTAAGATTATTAAAATATTTACGTTATCAAAAACCTAGCAAAGATTTATAAAAACAAAAAAAAAGATCTTGTCTGAAGTAAAACTTGACATCACGAATCCCTCAAATCCTTTAGTAATAGTAGATGCAGAATATTTATCAAGCACACGAGCGTAGACTAGCATTTTTATACTCGTTATCGATTAAATGTTTGTTTATTATTATCCTATTTATGTAGAAATACTCATGGAACAAAAACTAGGGAGATCAGTTGATTTAACCTATAATTTTATAATGAGAGGCTGTGATTTACTGGTACCTTCCGAGAGTAAAACATACTTTTCTAACCCTAAATAACTCCCTAGGTACACTCCGATTTCTGAAAATTTGACATTGGTTATCAAGTTATCATTTATATTTCGTGAACAGATAATGTGTTTATAATCAAAAAGGTCAGCTTGTCAAATTTTTGACAGAAATCAAACTAAATGGATGGTAAAGTCAATTATAAAATTAGTAATTATCTGAATCATTTTTCAAGTTTAATTATAATGGTTAAAATAAAGTCTATTAATTAAAC